CCAAGTTCAAACCCAGCTGCTGAAATTGGTGTAAAAATATTCAAAATGCCACTTTTACAGTTCATTTTCTGCTTCGTTCCTCCTCCGACGATTCTGGGTGGTTGGTTGTGCTTCCTCGTCGGACTGGTACTTATTGGACTGCTCACTGCTATAGTTGGTATGGATTTTGAATAACTATTCGACGAATTTGATAAAAGTCAATAGACACAGCATATTCGTGGTTTCAAATCAATCATAAAATTAAGTAAGTCGTAAATCATCTAGTAGGGGACAGTCAAGCAAGTTGACAGTTGACTCTCTCTTTAGAATAATCATTTTCACTTGCCGAAAGCGACTCAGTCGAAATAAAACGATTCTGCAAGCGCGCAAATCGTTGCTAGGTAAATGCAGAGAGGCGGAACCTTTCAATCGCGCGCGGTTGCGTCGCAGCTGTCTTTCTGACCCACTTATCGCCGATAAGTAGGGGTTTGCTTGTACTTCTAATAACAAATACCCTTCCGTTTTTGGTAAAATTTTTAATGGACTTTTCTAACCTTTGACCCTCTACCTCTGATGATTCCAGTCGGGTAATGATTTCAGCTCCCTTTAGCGGTATCTGTTGTCGTTCCTTTCGATTCAGAAATTCTACAAACCCTTCTTCAGACGTCTCCACAATTCCTTTGACTGCAAAATTCTAGGAGATTTCGCTTCAATCTTCGGTTGTATGGTGGGAATTAAAGACGCCATAACAGCCATCACACTTGTCGCTTTGGGTACAAGTCTGCCCGATACGTTCGCCTCGAAGATCGCCGCTGAGAACGTTAGTGCTGTCTACGATTTTCTCGATGGATTGTCACATTCTATTAATGTTTCAGGATGACACAGCCGATAACGCAGTCGGAAATGTGACTGGATCAAACTCTGTGAATGTGTTCCTTGGTCTTGGCCTTCCATGGTTGGTAGCTTCTATCTATTGGGCTTCAAAGGGTGAAAGCTTCGCTGTTCCTGCTGCTGACCTCGGTTTCAGGTACGTCCTAGAGCATATCTGAAGTACATGTCTTGTTATTTGATTCAAAAGGATTCACAGGATTCAAAAACAAGGGGGGAAGTTAAAATTGGCGAAATTGATTCGGTACTTCTCCAACTAGAATTCAAACGGACGAATTTCACTTCCTTCTATCAAATATTTCTCATTGAGTGAACAATTTTTCCAAAGGAAAAAAAGATCAAAGTTTCCTCTCACACACCTTTTGGCCTCTCGAGAGGGTGGGATCGGTGAGTGGGCGAAATCTATGCGGCCATGTTACGAGTAGTCAAACTCCTTTACTTTTAAAGGAGGCTAGCAGAAGAAATTGGACCATTTTTGGCTGTGCAACTTGTTTGTGGGAAATACTGAACCTTCTAAATACTTGTGACAGTGTTATGAGATTCAATCTTTCTCTTTCAGCGTCACGGTGTTCATGTGCTGTTCAGTGGTGTTTTTG